GTTAAAAGACGCATCATGAGCAAAAAAAAAAAAATGGCAGTCAACAACATGGCCGAGCACCGATCACAGTCTAAAAAACATGGAATCAGTTTTCTGTAGCTACATATATAAAAAAAACTAAAGAAATAATCCTGTCACCCGAACTTTGGCTACACTGAAGACAAAACGTTTGCAGACCGTTGCATGTACAGCGTATGGTGGTGGAAAAACAAGAATTTTCCTTTCAAGATTTTGTGCCTTGTGATTTCTCAGCGGGCTGCAAGGTGGCTCCATGGTTAGCACCATTGCCTCGCAGCAAGAAGGTTGCTGGTTTGCGTCCCGGTGAGGACACCCGGGATCTTTCTGCGTGGAGTTTGCATGTTCTCTCCGTGCAGCGTGGGTTCTCTTCGGGTTCTCTCCAGGTTCTCTGGCTTCGTCCCACAAGGTCCAAAAACATGTTAAGGTTAATTGGTGATTCTAAATTGTCCGCAGGTGCGAATGTGAGTGTGCTTGGTTGTCTGTCTCTAAGTGTAGCCCTGTGATAGACTGGTGACCTGGTGACCCTAGTGAGGATTAAGCAGTGTATAGATAATGGATGGATGGAGGATTTCTCAGCCCAGCACTGTGGAGATTCTAGATTTTTACTGAGTTTATGTAATGTGGGTCAGTTAACATCAACAGACTAAAGTAAACTCTGCAAGGTTACTAAGTTACGAAGCAACTGACAGCTGGTACTGGCAATAAGATTCAGACGGAGGATCAAGACTGCTAGTTGTTATGGAAGCATAGTGATGAAGCCACAGTATAGCATGTATGGCTGAATTTACTCCAACATAACAACTGTCCATTGTGTGCTGCAGAGTAGTTTTACAGTGTTTGAGCAGTTTGAGTCACGGGTGAGCTGGTGTGCTTGAGCTGCAGCAAGTGAGGAAGAGGTGGGTGGAGAAAGGGGCGGGAACTTTATCGATCTGCGCATTCTGGACGAAGCAACGGTGTGTAGTTACATCTAAGCCATTCGGAGGCAGGAAGGGATTATTTAATGGAAGAAAAACTTCTAAATATGTAACTTTGATACACAGATGAGTGATTTTATTATTTTTTATTTTTAGACCATTAAAGACTTAGACTGCTTCGAGACTTTAAGGGTATTTCTTGGTTTCTGTAGACTGTCTGCATATATACCAGAAACATAAAATGTGTACTGTATCTTCATTCGTGTCTTTTTCAGAGGTTGCACACACGATTTTCTCTTTTTGGCTTTTTAATGTTGGAGGTCGTCATCATGGTTCCTCGTGTTAACTGGTGCACGTTAACTGGTTGGTCTTGACCGTTGCTTAGTGTGGCTGGAACTGTGATATGTGATATGTGGATGGAAGAATTTTACATTTCTGTCAGTTTAGCAATGAATCTAATGAGATAAAACCTGTCAGTGGGTATTGGTTTGGTACTAAAACTGTGGATATGGATGGGGTTAAGTTCTGGCTCCATTTAGGAGTCACACTCTTTGAGAAGAAAGCCAGTAACCGTATTTACAACTGCTATCTACTATCTGGACTTCATTTAAACGAAGCCCTGATAGAATGTGAACACACAAGGGGCATATATTGACTTCGTTATTATTCATTATTCGCAGATATTTTCCAACAAGAAAGATTGTACTCACGGTACAAAATCATCGGCGGAGGTTTGGTCATGCAGCAGCTCAGACGAGCAGAATAGGATTCTCAATTACAAAAGCTGATCTTCATCTGCATAGTGTCGCACTGGCATGTTTAATATGAAAGCCCAGTAAGATTTATAGACAGGCCACAAATAGAATCAGGGAAAATGATAGTTTTCATGTTCAGCACCGTGTCCGTAGCGGTGCACAGGCCAAATAACCCAACCTTGCACAGGAAATGTGAAAACGCGTGCAAAGCGCAGTTCAAATAGCAGTGTGCAATTGATTTGTCAGTGCAGAACACATCAAAAATTGAATGGTCTTGCTGCACCGGTTCTGTGGGAATGTTCAGTATACGCAAGAGAGTCTTTTTGCACAGCCAAAACCAAACATCAAGTGTTAATACAGCAAAGTATTAAAGCCTTGGAGCTCATTTCTAACTTCAAAATCAGAAGTGTTTTCTTGATTGTGTGTGATTAAACACGTCAACCACTGATGAAAAGTCTGTGTTTATTGGTATAGATGGATTGAGCCTTCCAGAAATAACAGCGCAGGGATGTGTATTTGCAGTCTATAGTGATATCAGTTATTATCTAAGGAAGGTGTTTACATTTCAGGGCATATATATGTTGGGTTTACTGAGACAAATGATCTGCATCTTCTGTTGTTTCTTTGTTGTGTTTTTTTTTCTTTTTTTTTTCATTTCCATCCTGCTTTGTCTCAGTGAGCTGTTACACTCATTAGTATTCTGTCTGGACTTATTGTCTTTCCCACTGACATTTACATTTAAATTGTTTATCTCTCAGTGTGTGTGTGTGTGTGTGTGTGTGTGTACACGCATGAGTGTGTGTGTCTATAGTCAGTAATGAACATGCCTTCGCTGGTCCCTGGAGGCAGCCATTACGAACACACTCACACAGGAGGAGGAGGGAGAGAATCTGTAGCGGTATTAAGGTGCAGGATCTTAAATTTCCACTTGAAATCACAGAGGTATGCAGGTTGTTGAAGGTTGATTTTTTATTTTTTTTAGAGTGACACTTTGTGCTGATTTTCAGTGGCATTATGATTTAGTCAGTTTTATAATGGAAATCACTGCAATTTATTCCGTTAGCAATATTTACTCCAGAGTTTAACTCCTGAAATTTAGTGTCTGAAAACCAGGGCATCTCAGTTAAAAAAAAAAATATCTCTCCGATTATGTTCTTGAGTTGTTTACTGCTATTAGGATTAAAAAAGGCTGCCAGTATCTGCACGCTGGATTACACTGTCGATCACCCAGTTTTTGAGACAGAACAGGAAGTGTTTGGATCCTGAAGGGTTCTCAGCAAGTAAATGACTAACAGGACAAAAGGCAAAGTGCTTTACACATCAGAAAGGTGATAAAATAATGCTGCTATCATGGTCAACCAATCAAAGTGAGTTCAACATTTTGATTAGGACTCTAAAGATATCAAAGAAAAATGTCATTTTCCACCAAAATGCAACAGAAATGTGGACATGTATCAACAAAAACAAATGTGTGTACACTCATTTATCATACTAATTGCACAAACAAATGCACAGAAAGTATTTTTAAAGGGGCATTACAACAGTAAAATTGAGCACTTCTGTTGCTTTTCGTATTCATGTGATTTAATTGTGTTCTGGTTTTCCTCATTGGAAAAAACCTGGACTCATAATGTAAAACATTTTTTAAGTCTCTGCAGATGTCTCCAATACTGGATAATATGTTTACTGTCCATACTATAGATTCACTACTTAGACTGCATTTCCCTTCTGCCTGCTTTGCAAAAACACAGCCTGCAGTTCAGCTGAAAAGTCTCAGAATTTTTGTCATGTGACTCTTGGTCACAGCTGAGTCAGTCATAGCTTCTTGGTTGCGTTAGAAAGTGCAGAATTTTTTGTTTTTTTCAGAATTTAGTTAGAACAAATTATTTATTTTTGGCTTTTTTTTAAAAATGAAACATGTTGAATGAAGTGATTTTACTAAATATCCTGGTTCTATACTTAGATTTGGTTCCATTTCCTGATAAAATGCTACACAATTACTTAAACCTTTGGAAAGCTGGAAGTCTGATGATTCTTTTGGTTTTTGCAGTTACTTGCT